GAGTAATGATGGATATACTGGAATGCAGGGAATTTAGTAATGCTATGATGTAGTTATGAGGACAGTGAGGCTCAGGTTAGGATGTGTAGGAGAGAGGGAGGTTACTTTCCAGTAAAAGTAAGTCTTAGACAGGGATGTGTAATGTCACCATGGTTGTTTAACATATTTATAGATGGGGTTGTAAAAGAAGTAAATGCTAGAGCGTTGGGGAGAGGGATAGGATTAAATAGGGGATATCAAATACAAAATGGGAATTGACACAGTTACTTTTTGCTGATGATGCTGTGCTTTAGGGAAATTCTAAGGAAAATCTGCATAGGTTAGTGGACGAATTTGGGAGGGTATGTAAAGGTAGAAACTTGAAAGTGAATATAGATATGAGTAAGGCGAAGAGGGTATCAAACGATTTAGATAAAGAAAAACCGGATATCACACTGGAGGGAGGGAGTATGGAAGAAGTGAATGTTTTCGGATATTTGGCTGGGTGCCTGTCTCTTAGTGCTTGGGCTGTGGCCTCATCTTTGGGAGCAACAGTGTCGTCACTTGTGATTATTCTGATTGCTCCCACTGTGTTACCTTCTTCGATTTTTTTGCTAACTTGTGAGCCAATTTTCTCGTTTTCAGTGGAATTTTTCTTGGGTCTGCCTGTGTGATTCCTGTGATGATAGAGCAGAGGACATAATTATCTGTTCTTGGGTAGTTGCGCATTGCTTTGATGACTGATGTGGTTAGCAATTTGCCGCGTCTTGCAGGAAATGCAAGACAGACATTGCCGAACAGGAGTAGGTTGTGCCAAGCCTTAATGGTGCCTCAGGCTTCTAAGTTGGTGGAACCTCCATTCACCTGCTTAAGAAGGTCTGTGAATTTACCTGCAGCATATGAACGAGCCGCTTTAGGAATGTGAGATAGGGTACTGCTAGCAGTGGATTTGAATGTCATCAGATCTTCACAACTGAGGAGGTTGCTATTGGAATTTTCATATGCCTGTGGAGGCTGTGGGCTGCTCTCTGCAGGGATCATATGTGATCCAGCACACCCACTGCGTGCGTGGATAAAGCCAAAATACACTCCACACACCTGACATGTGCCTCTTCTTTCATTGTTAGGTGCATTGTTCCCCTGGCTTTATAGCTGGCTAGTTGCATCACCTGCCACACCTCAGTCTGTGTGGTAAGCTTGGGCTGAAGGAAAAATGGCACATGTGGGTAAAGGTACATTACAGTTGTGACCGGGTGTGGACGTGTGAATTGCTCATTACTCATGACTGTAGCCATGTATAAACGTAAGTAAGAAAATTTACTTACAGGATTCATTACCTTTGTAACTTGTGAGTTCATTACCTTTGTACCTAGTTCAGCTATCAAAACTTTGGGGGCCCAGTCCCTGGACTCATTATGTACCTCTGTAATCTGTAAATACCTTTGTAACTTGTCATGATTGTGACCAGATCTACCTGGAGTTCATTACCTTTGTAACTTGCTCAATTATCAAAACTTTGGGGCCCAGTCCCTGGACCCATTATGTACCTTTGTAATCTTTTGACTACCGCCCACAGGATGGGTATGGGGTGGATAATAAACATATTAAACTAAAACTAAGGTACATACCATTGGTGGTTCATGGTGGGGATGGAGAGGGGTGGAGGAGAGAATAGCCCAAAATGTGGTTGGTGGCCTCACGTCCTCATAGTAGGCAGGTAAGGGAGGAAGGAGTGGAGGTGGTGTGATAAGTGATGAGAAGCGAGGAGTGGAGGTAGGGTGATGACCTGTGGAGGCAGGCCAAGCGGAGTTGCTCACTCACCGCGCTCCACGAAACATCAATAAACGTGACAACACTATACACTATACACAGCCCCCATTATAAACAACACACCGCTATATACTCTGCACTATACATACAAGGAGAACAAACACTCTGTTATCGGAGCGAGTCTGAACAGTGTATGTGCGCGTGTTTGGGGAAGGGGGAAACACATGCAGTTCTACCTCTCTTCCGCCTCTTCCATGTTGCCCACCTCCTCTCACTACCCCCTCCTACCCTAAGATGACCGTTATGCATCCTCCCTCACTCCTCTGGCACTGACTTCATGTATACAACACTTTTCTTGAACCAGACACTGTCACAATGAATCTTGCTAAATGTCTAAAAGTAAATACACACAGACCTAAATGGATTTTGAAAACGTGCAATTACATTAAATTTTATAACCTGCATGAACTGTATCACTGTAGACAACAAGAGCATTTCACCCCTCCATTGAAGATGTGTTCATTTAATATCAAATACCTGTAAGTCCCTCCCAAGAAGCTCATTACTAGTAATCCCTTCCTTAAATCGCTTGTTAAAGCAACTGCTCAAGAAGAAATTTCTTGCCTAGCTGGTAGTAATAAGTTATCACAAGTTATATACACTGATGGATCTAAACAGGAGTCTTCTGGCAGGGCTGCATCTGCTCTTGTTGCCACCTCCCTAGTTAAGAACGATAATAAATTTGTTGAACTAAGCATAAGAATTAACAACTGGGTGTTGGCTGTTGACTCATATAATGACTCCAGCAACATGCTCATTGAAGAAGCCAAGTATAAATACTCAAAAATCCGGGACAAAGGAATTAATGTACAATTGCTATCGAGCCCCTCACACATTGGATTACTCCTTTATGATGAAGTTGATGTTAGCCAAGAAGAGTACCCAGAAGGAGAATGTAGAATATTACATTGGTATATCTGTGTCTAGCTATAGGAATAATATTAGGAGAGAAATAAATAATGAAAATTATTGTTATAGAAATGCAATTAGAAGCCCGAGTAGATCTATAACCCAATATGATAACATGAATAGATATGTATGTTTATGGAGCAACTTGCAATGTGAACAGACTGACTGATGTTGTAGTGGCCAGGCTTAGGCTTGGTTACAGGTACTTCTGGCAGTTTGGGAGACACACAGATGATGATCAAACTGAATGCAAATTATGTGATCAGGCATATGGTCACTCTCTTGAACACTATGTGCTTAGTTGTCCACTTATTGTGGCATGTCAAGATATCTTATTAATGAAAATAAGAGAAGCAAATATACTAAGCAAATTTCCTAAATTTGCTTTTAACAGATAAATGAACTGTAGATATGCTGATATAAATCCATATGTGCAGCTGTTAGCCCTTTTGGGGCCTAGTTCCTAGGCCTTTTGTGTATCCATATGCTCTTGCGCTACCGTCCATAGGATGGATATGGGGTGCACAATGAACTAGCCACTTCGCTGGCAAAATCTGATCTAATGGAAGAAATGAAATGCAGGGTCTTCTTGCCACTCCAAAACGAGCTGCAGGTATTCACACACCAACCTGTTAATGATAATCCTGGTATCCTGGTAGGTGTTCTTGAATAGAAGATATTATGCCAAAACCACAGAAAGGGATGCCCATAGCCATATATATATATATAATATATATATATATATATATATATATATATATATATATATACACACACACACTGATCTCTGGCTGAAGGAGACTCGAACCTACGAACCTTGTATGCAGTGCTATACCATTCTCACCACACTGGACCAATACTTTGGCGTGCAGCTTGCGTTAGACGTTGATCCAAGGCACCCAGCTTTCAGGGAGAAGGCTTACAGCTTTTCATTACATCCCCTGCATGCATCAGCCTTACTAGAGATTTTAAGAATGCAAGGAATTCGGAAGAGAAGGCGAAATATATACAAACACTGATCTCTGGCCGAAGGAGACTCGAACCTACGAACCTTGGAACAAGGTACGCAGTGCTTTACCATCCTCACCACACTGGACCAATACCTTGACATCCAGCTCACACCGGACGTATTGATCCAAGGCAGCCAGCTTTCAGGGAGGAAGCTTACAGCTTTTCATCTCATCCCCTGCATGCATCGACCAACTAGAGATTTTAACAATGCGATGAATTCGCAAGAGCAGGCGAAATATACACAAACACTGTTCCAAGGTTCGTAGGTTCGAGTCTCCTTCGGCCAGAAATCAGTGTTTGTGTATATTTCGCCTGCTCTTGCGAATTCCTTGTATATATATATATATATATATATATATATATATATATATATATATATATATATATATATATATATATATATATATATATATATATATGTATATATATATATATATATGGTGGATAAGAAATGCTCTGATTGCAGACTCTAACACTGAAAAAGCGAGGACGGCTATTCACGAAGATCGTTGTCAGAGTATCCAGGAAACTGCAAGTACTGTGGGAATTTCTTTTGGGTCGTATCAAAGCATTCTGACTGAAAATTTATATTTCCTTGCAAAGCTTACAATGTGTGGTTTACATATTATAAGATATTAATTACAAAGAAAACCACTAGCATACCTAGGCATTTCGGGCAGACCACATAATTTCCCTCCCCAGATATAGTCCTCTGTGACTTCTTTCTCTTCCCAAAAATATAAATGGAAATCAAGGGGCGGTGTTTCAGCAACGTGGAGGAGACTCAAGCAGAATCACAGGCCGCCCTGTATCTACGTCGTTATGAAATAAGAGCTCCAGAAATGTTTCGAGAAGTTGCAGAGGCGCTGGGATCAGTCTATACAGCCTCCCAAGGAGACTGTATAGACTGTGTAGGCCTACCTAATCGCCTAGTTAAACATGTCTCGACGGAGACATGTTTAACTAGGTGATTAGGTAAGCGTATATATCTTTTCTCGTGGCAGCCCAGGAACTTTTGGATAACATCTCTTATTATATCAATATTATATTTAACTCACTCAAATTAAAACTTATATAACAACTTTCCTCATTTCATATATAATAAAATAAATGTTTGAAACGGCACGAAAAAAAAGTAAATGAAATAACGAGGAAAGAAAATAAAAAACTATTTATATAACTAGGCAGAGAGTTAAGACGATCTCTATAAATATGTGATTTCCTGTATGTGGACGCCGGAGGAAGCAAGCCACGCACACATCATAGCGAACAGGAAAAATCTTATTATTATGAGTTGGCTCTTGTGCTACTCACAGTCGACTGTGTGTGTGTATACTGACTCTCACTAAAGAACAATATGCATGTTGATAAAACCCGTGTAAATCGGTAAGTGACGAATACTAGTGCACATTTTATACCGTTATCACTGTTCAACTTGCAGCCATAACACATACCTCGGAGTTTGTCAAGTGTTGTAGCTCGCGTTTTATCTAGGGGAGAACTTATTATATTCATGGGGATCGCTGAACCCGTAGGGGTTATATAGTTCCATAGTGGGAAAATCGTAGACAATCAGGCTCTATTCAAGGAAATGGAGGACAAATCCAGCTCCTTAGATCAAGATCCCCACACCAGCATCAAGGAGGGTGCTAAATAGTCTGGTATATCATGTTCGTTAACAATTAACTAAATTGATTATTTTTACTGAATACTAAGTTGTTGAGGTGGTTCAGACATGTGGAGAGAATGGAGCGAAACAGAATGACTTCAAGAGTGTATCAGTCTGTAGCGGAAGGAAGGCGGGGTAGGGGTCGGCCTAGGAAAGGTTGGAGGGAGGGGGTAAAGGAGGTTTTGTGTGCGAGGGGCTTGGACTTCCAGCAGGCATGCGTGAGCGTGTTTGATAGGAGTGAATGGAGACAAATGGTTTTTAATACTTGACGTGCTGTTGGAGTGTGAGCAAAGTAACATTATGAAGGGATTCAGGGAAACCGGCAGGCCGGACTTGAGTCCTGGAGATGGGAAGTACAGTGCCTGCGCTCTGAAGGAGGGGTGTTAATGTTGCAGTTTAAAAACTGTAGTGTAAAGCACCCTTCTGGCAAGACAGTGATGGAGTGAATGATGGTGAAAGTTTTTCTTTTTCGGGCCACCCTGCCTTCGTGGGAATCGGCCAGTGTGATAATAAAAAAAATAACTAAGTATAACTCTAGTACGCTATTGTATAAGTTTCGTGAAAATTGACTAAAAGAAACACTTTTTCTAGTATATCGGAAAATTAAGTGCTTCTAGTTTTGTATATGTATGTGCATGATAAAAAAAATGCGAAATCATAGAAAAAGATAAATCTTTCTGATATGAAGAAAATTAAATAAGTTATTGATATTGATCAATAACAACAATGCACTAGCCAAGGAGTCGAACCCATGCTGTTTTGGCCCGCCTCATAGTAAGAGAAAACGCATGACGTTTTAGACCACTAGACCACACAATCCTTAACAATAATACATCCAGCCACTTAATACTGTCTGTGAAACTATTTGTAGATTATTTAGATTTCCTATATAAAGAACATATGAATATTTTATTTTATACGTTACGTTTCATTGTTCTAAATATCTAGTATTATGCCTAGTTCTTAACAGATCGTCGTTCTACATATCTGAAATTACCGCGGGTTACTAGCAACACTGTTCTAGAAACTGAATATTATAATAGATTCCTGTAGTGTTGCTTATCCCAGTTACTTAGCACTGTCCCAGTCACCTCTTATTATCCCAGTTCCGTGACATTAGCCTAGCTAATTAGCATTATCCCACGCATCAAGCATTGCATAAAGCACCTGGTGTTATCTCATATAGGCCTACAAATTATTACTTGATGTAAAAAATATTTTGCACCTAGAATGACTCCAGGCATTTTTCTTTATCACAGGCACCCAGCATTATCACGGACACCTTGCATTACCACTGGCACCTAGCTTTTTCACCAATATCTAGAATTATCAGGCACCTAGCACTATTACTGGCACCTAGCATTATCACTGATATCTACCATTATCACTGGCACTAAGTATTTTCATTGAAACCTAGCATTATCAATGGTACCCAGCAGAAGCCCAGACACCTAGCATTATTACAGGCTCCTAGCATTTTCAGTGCTAGGAGCTAATAATGTCCCATGTACCTAGGATTACCATGTGCATCGCACCTTATCATATGCCTTTAAAAATAGCCAAGATACCTCACCTTAAATTGTCTCAAACACCTAACTTTATCCCAGACACCTAACATGCATCTAGCATTATCCCAGGTACCAAACATTACGTAAGGTAGTTATCATTATGACCATTATGTGTCATTTCAAACACTGGCTCTGAATGCCACGCTCATCCTGAGTACCCTATATACGCAGGTGGGTGAGTGTGGCTCTCCTGACGGTGCTGGGCGTCTTCTGCTTGGTCTTGCTCCTCCAACTGGCTGCAATGCTCTTTGGGCCCTCTAAATCTGCCTGCACAAAACAAGGTAAGAGAAATGAAATCGATTTTTTTAATCTAACAGTGGACGGGTGCTGGGAATATTCACACAAAGAACGGGCGCTGGGAACATTTACGCATTTGATAAGTGCTAGGAACTTTCACACAAAGCACGGGTGCTGGAAACTTTTACACACAAAACGAGAGATAGGTATGTATGACGAAAGGATTTTTTCAGATTCTGCCGTCGAAGCGGCTAGTTAGTGCACCCAATATCCATCCTGCGAACGATAACCTAGGAGCATGTGGATACACGAAATGCCTAGATTCTAGACATAATTATATCTATAATTGTCTTATCGGATGAGAGAAAATTTAAGATATTTGCATAGTATATCTTCTATCTTACTTTCATTAATACAATGCTCTGACATATCACAGATTACAATATCTCTGTATTTCTCAAAGTTTTAGGACGATGAACCACATAGTGTTACAGATAGTGACCATAAGGCTGACCATTTACTTTATATTTAGTTTAACCATCATCTGTGCGTCTTCCAAACTGTCAGAAGTACTTGTAACAAAGTCCTAAGTCTGTCTACTACAACAACAATCTGTTCACATCACAAGTTGCAAAGTAAATATGTTATCATTGTGAGTGACAAATCTACCTAGGCTTCTTTCTCCTTTTCTATAACATTCACTATCATTATCTACTTTTCTAATAACATTATTTCTAATGCTAGATACAGATACCAATGTTATATTACAAAATTTCCTTCAGGTTGCTTTCTTCTACTAACTTATCAACTTTATCATGAAGGAATAACTCAACGTGTGATGGAATCCATAAAAAAAAATGTACATTAATTCCTTTTCCTTATTTTGGAGTATCTATACCCGGCTTCCGGAGTGAGCATATTGTTAACCATCATGTAGTCAAGCGCCACCAATGATGACAGAAACTCATAGAATCAGTAATAATTATAGTGTCAAGCTTAGTGTCATAAATTACCTTTATTGCCTTTAGGATAGCAAGCAATTAATTTTGCAGTGTAGACTCGCAGTTGTTAATTCTTATGCCTAACAACTTAGTTTCTAGAGTTCTTAACTAGGAAGTGGGAACAAGAGAATCTGCAGCCCTGCCAATACATTCCTGCTTAGATCCATCAGTGTAAAAATTTATGAAATATTATTGCAAACAGTTAAGCGAGAAATTTGTTCTAGAGTAATTGTCTCTGCAAGTCAATTAAGGAAGAGATTTGTATTGATGAGCTTCTTGGAGGGGCTTGCAGATAAGTCATATTAAAAGAATACATTTTTCCATGGAGGGGTGAAATGCTCTTGCTGTCTAAAGACAGGTGTAGGTTAAAAAAAATAATATACATGCATGTTTTCACAACCTATGTAGATGTGTGCTAATTTACTTATAGATATTTGGTAAGATCTGAAGTGAGTGTCTGGTTCATTGATTTTAAATTCAAATATCAAGTACAGTATTAATATCGATAATCCTATGACCGATACTAGGAACACAAAGCTCCTTCCTCATATTAATAGGACCTTGATAGTTTTAGAACAGTCAAAAATAATTCTGTGGACTTCGTTTTACAGCTGCAAGGGCTGGAAGGAATTTTCTTTAATTAACATTAACATAGGCGCAGCATAATCAATTAAGACTCCAACACAATTATGTATATCATTCTTAACATTCATACATTAGCACCACAGTTGGGGTTGTAGCTAACAACAACTCTGAGAGCATTTCCTATTTGCATTTTCTATTTAGTCGTCGTATGATGGATTTATTGAAAGATACGTCTATACCAAGCTAATTGTAAGATTTTAACGCAGCTGATGTTTTTACCATACAAACAGATTGGTGGAACATGTCCTTTACCTGTCAATATCTTAGTCTTTGATGAAGATATGACAAGGCCTAGTCGATTACCAATTACTTGAACTTCATTAACAATGGCACTCATCAATGATATTTATCAAAAAATCATTATCTACACCAGCAACCGACACTCACCACCTATTGTACACAATTATCCTCGGCATTCACCACCACAACCAGTACCAATACACCACACAAAACACCATTACCGGCACTGCCATCTTACACCCACTGCCAACCACCAAGCATTTTTCCTTTTCTCACCCACATCAAAATTGTATTTCCTACAGTGTGCCTGTCCAAGTTCTTGGAGGGTCCGCCAGCCTTCAACGACGAAGCGACGGCTACTTACCTGAAGATGAACTACTTCCTATCTCCCGCTGCCTCCGAGTACAAACTCTCCGGCCACGTTGGCGAAACCGATGCCTTTATCGCTCTCCTTCAATACATTAAAGAATACTTCAAAAACAAGGTAGGTCACTCAGAAGGGTCATTGTAACACTGAGACCCGTGACAGGACGCCTGTCCTGGCGAATGTTATACATACATATGAGGTAGGAGAGGTGTTGAGTCCAGCTGCGCAAGCTTTTTGATAATTTTTAGTATAAATCTTAATTAATATTAGTTTCGTTTGACTTTTGTCAAATACGAGGCCTGATCTAAGACCGGACCGCCGGGGCGTTGACCCCCAAAATCCTCTCTAGGTATACTCCTGGTAAGTAAACAACTCTAAAATGCGATTTCAATGAAAAAGTCTAATAAACTGTTATAGTTACACTTCGGCTACGGAAAACCAAGTGAAAAGAGATTATATTTGCAGGAAAACGTCATAGCGATGTTTCGTCCAGGATTAGACTGTATTTTACGAAAACCAGTGTATATATATCTATATGCTATGGTTTGCTATCAAAGAGGTCTCTTGTAAGTTTAAAGTCACTATACAGAGATTCTGCTTTTGACTCTCGCCCTGGCAGGTCATAGCAGCTCTACTTACTCTGTCTCCCTACGATCCCCGTTGGGGAGGGGAACCTTTACCAGCGTCGTCTTCGCCTTGACTTGCATGATGAGCTACGCAAATCGTGTAAAGATCAAGCCAAAAAGTAGTACCGTTGATGATTCAACGAAGCTTGCTCTTGCCACTGTTGTGCAGAAAGCATTGCAAGTGAAATTCAATGCTATTTTGTCACTGAAAGAAGCATTCATTGTTGTATGTCACGATGATGCTGAAGCAGAGAAGTTACTCACCACAGAAGCCACCACTACTCTTACTGCTCAAGGATTTACTGTTACATCCTCTCCTGCCCTAAGGGTAAGAAAATCAGTATTCCTAAAAAACTGGACAAGATTCTGACTTCTCAATCAATTGCTGAACTCAAGTCATCCACTGAAACGCAAAATACTTGGGCTACTGTTGATAGCATTACCAAAATCCCGAATGCATCGTCTATGCTCAAGGTCACCTTCACCGACGTGAACATGGCTGCCACTGCACTGAACGAAGGTCTTGCTGTTTACTACTACTACATCAGTCCCACCTACATTGAAGCAGAGAGATACCACTACATTCAACATTGCTGGAACTGTTATTCATACCATCACACCACCAAAGCATGTCCAGCAAAAGACAAGAAGTTCTGCACTACATGTGGTAGTGAGGGACACCTTCAGTTCCTGCACCGCTGCTGCTCCAACACAACCAGCGTGTTTAAACTGCAAAAGTAATGATCACCATACACTGGCAGCAAAATGTCCTACAAGAAATGATATTATGAAGAAAACACAAGATGCAGCAAAGAAAAAACCTACTAAAAACACACCAACGTATGCAGCAATTGCAAAGTTACAAGCAGACACTACAACATTACTTCAAGCATCTACTCAGCCCGCCTCCACCACCATCACTCCTACAACATGTGACGTAACGAAGATCCACTATTGTTTACTATATGCTCACATGCAGAACATGGCTGTACCTGGAACCTTTAATTCTACCATCAACGAGTTATTTGCATTAACTAACATGCCATCATTCATATTTCCAGCATCTCCACCTTCTGAAGAAATTCTAAAATTCACCAAGCACTTAATCAACACCTCAGCTACAGTAGCTCCAACACCACCAACAACTAGTGACGTCACTCCAATAACGTCCAATGAGAAGCCTTCGCCGCCACCACTCCTCATTGAAACCGACCAATCAGAAGCCTTATCACCAGAAACATCTTCCTATTCGTCTACTGAAGATGACAACGAATATTTACTTCCTCCTTCAACAATACCTAACAAGAAAGGAAAAACAGCAAAAAAATCATCATCTCACAACTCCTGACATGATAAAGACGAAGATATTAAAAAATATACTTCATGGACTGGAATCAACTTCTACACTACAGAAAAATATCATCAAGACATGCCGCTTTATGAGCTTTATTCTCACCTCATCGAAAAGACAGTCAAGTTTACCATCGATTCTTCCTGCTCAGCTGGAACTCTTCGTACAATTGAACTTTCTACTATTCTAAAGGCCATTGTAGACCAACTAGAAGATTCCAGCCAAAAACACTTGCTGACACGTATAAATTTGCTCCCTCTACAACGTTTTAAACGTCTTGAAAACGGAGCTGAATCGTAAAACAACGCCATGACTCCAGGTAAACACCAAACCTCTATGAACTGACCAATCAGCGATGAGCTCCTTCCATGTCGCCTGCAGCCGCCCAGCAAGATGCAGCCAGCACCTGCTGAGTTCCTGTTGCCTTCTACATCATCTTCGTCAGTATTTCTGAAATACATCTCCATCTACGCCTCCAGTACTTCGGTACCACATGTCCCAAAGTGGTTGGGCCACTTGCCTTGATTCCTCCTCTTCCCCTCTTTCCCATCCTTTTCCAGTTATTTCCATCCTTCCTTATCCTTCTTCCTTCCCATCTTACGACAGCTCTTGTCCTCGAAGAAGAAGAAGAATACCTGTGAGATTTCCTATTGACACATTGGTTCGCAGGTAATCCACCTGATTAATTAGGGAGGTATAAGATGTATAAGATAATAATAATAATATCTTTATTTTTACAAGTACATGCACAAGGTATACAGGCCTAGCTGACATCAATGACATACTACTATATAGAAAGCCCCTTGTTATGCTCAGTATTTCAAGCAAATTAGGTCAGTGCCCCAAGATGCGACCCTCACCAGTCGACTAACTCCTAGGTATCCATTTTACTGATGGGTGAACATAGACATCTGGTGTAAAAAAACACTCCAAATGTTTCTACCGGTGCTGAGAATCGAACGCAGACCCTCGCCATGTGAAACGAGCATTAGCCACCAGGCCACGGGGCACGCAGGAAGAGGGCAGAAGATTTTCAAGTGGGAAACACTCCTGTGTAGCAAGCTTCAAGTTTAAATTACTCAGACGTATATACAGTGGAACCTCGGGTTTTGTGATTAATTTGTTCCAGAAAGTCTGACGAAAACCGAACTGTACGAAAACTGAAGCAACATTTCCCATACGAAATAATGTAAATCCAATTAATCCGTTCCAGACACCCAAAAATATTAAAAAAAAAAAATTAATGAGAATAACTATAGTTTTACATATAGAAAACAATGAGAAATAAATATAAATGACTAATGAAATGGATAAAGGAACATTTAACATCACTTTTACCTTTATTGAAGACTCTGTTTGGATATGGAAGACAGCGAGGAGGGGAGAGAGGAGGAGAGGTTATTGTTTGGAAGGGGAATCCCTTCCATAAGGACTTCAGGTATCAGGGGCCCTATCTGGGGTTATTTCCCTTCTTTGTCTTTTACTGGCACTAACAAGAGCTTGAGAGTCACTGTACCCCTGTTGCACAAAAAGATCTGCCCAAAGAGGTCTGTTTCTGGCATCTCTTTAAGATTTGCTTAAAATGGGACAAGGCATTGTCATTGAACATACTGCAGACACAGCTTGCAACAGCTTTGTTAGGGTAATATTTCTCCACAAAACTTTGCAGCTCACTCCACTTTGCACACATGTTCTTAATCACTGAAGAAGGTACACTCTCCCCTCTCTCTTCCTCCTCCTCCTTTGAAGCAATTAGCTGCGACTTCTTTTTTTAATTCTTTAATTTTTCTTGCCTTCTTTATCAAAGGGCTGGCACTCGGAAGTTTCTTTGGCCCCATGGTGGCTTATTTGGCAGTCACACTCAATAAACAAGCACAAAAAATAATAGATTATTATGAAATGTTTCGGATGAATACGTAGGTTAATGCTCATTCGATGAGAAACAAAGCCAGACTGAGTCAGAATGCGTGGGATGCTTTGTGTGGGTGTGGACAGGCAGATGCGTTTGGTACTGCAGACCACTGTCAACTCAATGAAAATCGAGCGGCTGAATGAAAACTGGGACAAAATTTTGATGAAAAAAAGTCATCGAAAACCGAATTTGACAAAAACCAGGGCAAACAAAAACTGAGGTTCCACTGTATTAAAAATGCAGAATGCCTGGTGGCTAAAGCTCCCGCTTCACACACGGAGGGCCCGGGTTCGATTCCCGGCGGGTGGAAACATTTCGACACGTTTCCTTACACCTGTTGTCCTGTTCACCTAGCAGCAAATAGGTACCTGGGTGTTAGTCGACTGGTGTGGGTCGCATCCTGGGGGACAAGATTAAGGACCCCAATGGAAATAAGTTAGACAGTCCTCGATGACGCACTGACTTTCTTGGGTTATCCTGGGTGGCTAACCCTCCGGGGTTAAAAATCCGAACGAAATCTTATCTTATCTTATCTTAAGGGAAGAATTTTTATAGGGTGAGAAATATTTACCATGTTTCTTATGAATACATGCCACTGGTTGAGTCTAACCATTACAACATGTCTGGACATGTCACCTTGCAGTGAGTCATAACATGGCTTGGTTTCGTAATTTCGAAAATCCCAGTTTTTATGCTTTTTTATCATTTGTGCAATATTTACAGTGAAACTGCAATGAATTTCTTATTCTTGCTTAAATAATATTATATTTATGTCATGCTAAATCCGTGTGGGTCACTGAAGGAGTGATGGAGGCTCAATTGTCTACCCGATAAGTGTGAGAGACACTGTGCCTTACCAGCAATGCTCACCTCATTGTTCTACTCCTGTTGGATTGTGCACTGATGAACCTTCTGTAGTGCAGTGAATCATGCAACTGGCTAGTAATTTCAGGCAGGCAGTTCGAATCGTTGTCATTTCATTTAAATTGTGGAATTTTTTTTTACATAATTTCCTAAATGTAGAACATATAAATTAATAATATAATAATTATGTAATAAAATATGATGCTGATTTGACCCTTTTGAAAAATTTCGAGTGAGGGGGGTGTAGAACAGCTGCGGATGGGTGATGCCGAGATGCCACATTGAATTTAATGTGTGAATGCTGTATTGAATTGTGTAATGTGATCAGGCATTCTTGAAGGTCAGTTGGTGTATATCGGCCTCA